CAAAGAACCTGCACTTTGCCTTTGCATGGGGTGACCAACTATTCGTTGCCAAAGCATATGTGGAAACCCATAGCCAGGCACCCGACAACCCCAAAAACCATTTAAGAAAATGAAGAGAACAAAGAATAATTCTACTCAAGGAAAACAGGAAATCATTCCAGTTATCACAAATCCTTTTGCTTCTGGGTATATAAAACAAACAAATCAGGAACTCTCTTATTCAACCTGAAGGGTATTGATCAAAAGTTTCAAAAACAAAGGAGAGAAACCAAAGGCTAATAAGACATGGATTCGAAGCCAGGAGATATTGACGTACACACTGAATGGGTGCATGAGGCTGTACATGACACTTTGATTGCATATCTACCAGGTGAGTTATTGTCCAATAGTGTTTTGGTTTGTTGGTTTTGACAGTATATATTTTCGGGTAAAGCAATTGGTTTAGTTGATGCATAATTCAATTTGTACACTACTAGTCGATTTGTTTATCAGTAACACATCAAGGAAAAACAACAAAATGATGAGCAAAAGTCTAATGGTTCAACAGGATTTAGGAAGGAGCAACTCAAAGTTCAAGTAACCTCAACGGGAAACTTAAGGATATCTGGACAACGTCCGATTGGCGACAACAAATTCAACCGTTTCAACAAGGAAATTCCTATTCCATCAAATTGTGACCAAGATAATGTAAGAGCAAATTTCGCGAATGGTATGCTCCATGTTAAACTACCCAAACTGATCGTCCCAGCTGAGAAGCAGGAAGAAGCAAAACCAGCCGCAGAAGTTCTGAAATCTGATCAAAAGCCTGCTCCACAGCCTCAAAGTCCTGCACATGTGCCACAGAAACAAAAGAACGGTTCAGAACAGGCTGTTGATCAACAAGCTCCTCCCAAGGCCCCCATGGAAAAACAATCAGGTGATCAGAAGAAAGATGGGGTAGCAAAGGAGGCTGACAATGTTTCACAGAAGGCACCAGATAAAGAAAAGGGAATGAAAGATGAAAAGTATACTGCTAAAGAAGACGCTCAAAAGGCTATGGAGAAGGAGGAAAAAGGTTCGGACCAAGAGGAAAAAGCTACAAGCAGTGAAAAACTTGAAACGCTGGGTGATTCTGTCCAGGACGCTGCAGGAAAAGAGAACATAGAGCCTAAAAAATGCGATGGGGTTGACATATACCAGCTAGGGATTAATTATAAGCAAGTTCTTGATGGTTTGGTCAAGGGGCTAAAGAGCCCAAGGAAGATGATGAACATGGTTCTGGCTGTTTTATTGGTTGTGGTACTTGCAGTTTATCTCATAAACGCGATCAGGTCGCTTGGGAATTACTAGGCCTAATTAGCTTGCGGGAAGTTCATCCTGGATGTAATTTCTAAAGTTATCACTTCTATTTAAGAATCCATTGAGTAATATATTAAGAGCTTGACAAGTTCAGATTTGGCTGAAAGAATCTACCTCCCTGTTCTTGAAATTTATGAACCTTAATTTTTCATTCTCCTTTTCCCCTTAAATTTATAACTATGTATAGCAAATAAGAAATGTACATCAAAATTCCAACGGATATGATCAAATTTCAGCAAACAGATTAGCAATCTTCTGTGTCATTTTAAAACCATAATTTTCCATTGACTATTAATAGTCAAATAATGTGTATTAAAAACGATCATGGGTCAAGTGACATGCATGTATAAAAGCTTGTAACAATTGAGCATGAATAGAGCTTGAGCTTGAGCTTGAGTGGCACTCCATTAGAATAACCGCTGTTGTCGCTTTCGTGCTCTGCTCTGCTACAGATCCGTTGTTAGTTGAATAACCATTGCTACTGAATCCCAAGCTCCAGTGCCTAGAGGAAAGGCAGATGAAATTGTTGATGCATCTCCTGCCATGGCTGTTGTGAAAGAAGGAACTATTAATTTCACTTTCGGCAAAGACCCAAGATAGATGTCTTATACATAACCCGAGGCTTCAACTTTTTTTTTTTTTTGAAAGATGAGTTTTTATTAATGATAAGCTGAAATATTGTGGGAGGCTTCAATATTGAGATTTGGAGACTCCTGTTGGCATGCAAGCTATTATAAGAAGAGCCTGTTCTGAACAATTACAAAAAGAGCAGCTACTCAAAGAGCACTTGGCAGCATCTCGACACAGATAATCTCAAAAACAAGCATAGTTCAATTTATTCTTTAATTTTTTATCTCTTTGTTAATTATTTGCCGTCCTTGCCATGAAGGAACATATACCCAAGTAAGTTGTTTACTCCTATATCAAACAGGTTTGGAACGTGTTCTTTTCTTTTCATTTTTCAGGCCTGTGAGGTCACAACCCTGAATACATAATAGAAAAGAAACAAAGAAAAAGGCAGAGCCATCACCCAGCGAAGAAACTGCACTATTCGCCTTTGCGTGAAGAGACCAACCATTGGTTGCCAAAGCATATGTGAAACCTTCAGCCATGCGACCCACAAACCCAAAACCAGTTAAGAAAACCAAAAGAACAGAAAATAAATTATGTTCAAAGAAAGACAGAAAAACCTATCTAGGAAAGTTCCTGTCAATTATTTGCTTGTGTGTATAAGACCAACACCAAGAAACTCTCATATTCACCCTGAAGATATATTGATATTTGGGGAATAGATCAGAACGAAGGAGAGGAAAAAAAGGCTGATAATAAGATATGGATAGCAAGCCAAAGCCTGTTTATGAAGATTTTGAGGTACAGACAGAATGGGTGAATGAAGCTTCCGGTGACGCTTTAGTTGCCTCTGTCCCAGGTGTATTTTTGTTGTTTTTTGTTTATTTTTTCATTTTTTAGTTCTTTCTATGCAGGAAAACAATAATTATGAGCAGTGTTGTCTAATGATTCAACGGGCTTTAAGAGGGAGCAACTCAAAGTTCAAATATCCTCAGGGGGAAACTTGAGGATACCTGGAGAATGTTCAATTGGTGAGAACAAATTCAGCCGTTTCCACCAGGAAATTCCTATTCCATCAAATTGGGACCGAAGTAAGATCAATGCAAAAGTCATGGATGGTATACTTCAAATCAAACACCCCAAAGTGATCACTTCGGCCGAGAAGCAGGAAGAAGCAAAACCATCTGAGGAAGTGCCCCAAAGCCCTGAAGAGTTGCCTCATAAACAAAAGAATGGTCCAGAACATGCTGTTCAAGAATCTTCTCCCAAGGCCACCATGGAAAATCTAACTGGTGAGGAGACAAATGAGGCAGCAAAGGATGTTTCAGAGAAGGCACCGGATAAAGAGGACATGAAAGACAAAAAGGCTGACATCGTTGCAGCTGCTAAGGAAGCTAACGTGACTATGGATGGCACTGGAATTCACCAGCAGCTAGGGATCATTAAGCAAGCTTTTGACGGTTTGGTCATGGCGCTAAAGAATCCAAGCAAAGTGATGAACATGGTTTTAGTTGCTTTCTTGGCCGTGCTACTTGCACTCTTTGTTATAGATGGGATCAGGTCTCTTGGGAATTACTACAACGAAGCTTGTGAGAAGTTCACCATAGTTATGGGTGTTCGAGAATTCGTAGAAATAATAAGTTAAGAGCACCACAAGTTCAGATTTCTACTAGATTTGGCTAAGTAAATGTACCTCTGTTGACTTAACGTTTAAATTACCTTTTTGTTTTGGAAAGTAAGTTTTAAATTACCCTTAATCTCATAACATTTAAGTGAAAAAAAAAATACTAACAAGCACCTCCAAACACATCGATCAATTATCCTTTTCATTTGGGAATTCCAAGCTCACAGCCACCCATCTGTCCTCTCTGATAGGCAGTACAGTGATGCCTTTTGGAAATGCAATGTCAGGAAAGCATCGATAAACTCTGAACCTGTTGTTAAGTAAATAACTACGCGATCCTGGATCCTTTATCATATTTGAGTCTGAAATTGATAGAGCAGAAATGTCTAGATGCATTGATGTAGAAGACAACAAGCTTTCTTTGGCAAAGACAGGCACGGATTTAGAGCAAGAAGATGAGTTGTCAGAACTGTTTGTGGCATTGGCGAACACACTGTCTCCTACTTTCACTTCTTGCACTTTGAATTAAAAGAAACCACGATTAAGTATGAGTTCGAGCTAACGCAGTAAACAGCATGTTCTAAAATGAACAGATTCTAGTTAACTATGGAAAAAAAAATAATGGAATTTAATATTGGAGGAAGGTGCCAGATTTACTTTCTTCAGCATGTTCTTCATTTTCCACAGCAGTAGCCAAGTCTGAGCTAGACATAGATGTGAGAGGTCCATCTGCCACGAGGTCAGGTGGATAGAACTCAGAGCTCCTACCCTGTAAGCCTGATACAGGGAAAATAATTTGTCAGAGACAGGAAGAAGGTAGCAACTAATTTCTTAGCCTCTACCAGGTATTCACATTAAAGTCTTTTCAGGGACCTAAGCTATTAAGGTTAGGAAACATAAAATTTTGATCTCAAAAGAACATTAAACGGCATTAATAACATTTGTAGAAGATAACGAACCTTCTTTGTGTGAGACAGGCAGAGACTTAGAGCAAGAAGATGAATTGTCAGGACTGCTTTTAGAATTGGCTAACACTCTTTCTCCTGCTTTCACTTCTTGCACATCATCTACCATACACAAGATGCCTCGATTAAGTATAAGTTCAAGCTAATGCAGTAAAAAAAATAAGCTCGAAAATGAATAAATTCTAGCTAACTATAAATAAAAGAAATAGTGGCAGATGCCATACTTACTTTCTTCAGCATGTTCTTCATTTTCTACGGCAGTAACCAAGTCTGAGGTAAACATAGATTTACGAGGTTCATCTGCAAAGAGTTCAGGTGAACAGAACCCAGAACACTTTCCCTGTAAGCCTGAAACAAGAAAAACAGTTTAGCAGAGACAGAAAGGAGCAGCTCTATAATTTCTTATCTCTACCTGGTATTCACATTAGAGCCTTGTCAGGGACCAAACATATTAAGGTTAGGTACCATGTACAGATTTTGGTCTTAAAAGACATGGATAACATTGGGTAGTTTGGTGCCATAATACCAGTAAATATTAAGGAACAAAAAACCAATTGACTTACGCTCCGTTAGAGTGGTGTAAGCAACTTTAGCAGCGTTTATCTCAGCTTCTTTCTTGGATTTCTCTCCTTTCCCATAGAAAACCTCTCTTTCCACCTCCACACTGGAAAAAAATGTTGGCCTATGAGGCACACCACATTTCATTGTCTTATACTCTGGTGTAGTAAAGTCTTCTCTCTGAGTTAACTCTTGTAACAGATTCTTGTAAAATCCAATATTAACCTGTGAAAGAAAATCAAGTGAAATAAACGAATAAGTCAAATCTTTGCTTCATCTAAACAGTGAAGATTGAGAGGAATGTTACCACTTGAGCAGGAGTTGGGGTAGCAGCAGGGGAGGAAGAAGTGAAGTGAAGGAAAGCTGACTTAGCAGCGTCGTTTTGGGCTTCTTTACAGGATTTGCAGGAGGTGGAAGAGTGAAACGACATGCCGTTGAGAAAAACAGAGGCTTTGAAACGAGGGATATGATCAGGGCCATCCTTCATGGAAGTGTACCTTGGCAATGCCCATCGCTTTTGCTGGCACAGCTCCTGCAACTTCGCCTTGTACATTTTCGGTTTTGCTTTCTTTGCAAAGAGAACGAAATGAAATGAAGAGGAAGTCGAAGGAAAACTCCTTTTTCATGTTTGGACTTCTTATAGAGAGGGAGTGAAACAGTGGCAGAGGAAATGCACATGCTTCCCGCGTGACGGTTAATCACTCAATCTGCTTCACGTTTGCTTCTTTTTCTTTTCTATTTTTTCGGCTTCCACGCAGTATAAAGTAAATTTTTCCAATCATGTGAAAGGGTGGGTGTGGAAGCGTTTTGGATGTATTCTGGATCTAGTAGCTTTTTGTGGAACTGTTTTTTAAATAAATATTAAAATACAAACAAATGAACAAATAATTATTGTTAAATGTGTCTTATATATTAATTATTTACTCAATTTTAATAAAAATAGTTCTACTTTTTGTCTTTTATATTTTTGGGCATCTTGGGAATAAACAGAAGTAAATAAGAACAGAAATGAACGGATAGGTAGCAATCTTTTAAAAAGAAAAAAAAAAGAATAGAAATGACAATCAAATAAAATTTGATGCTTTCTCTTATAAGATGTGATTATCACACTTATTAGATGGAAAGTGGGCATTGTACTGCTTGAAGTGGTTAAAAAACGAGAGAAAGGAATCAGAGCATACATGTCAACAAATAGGATTTTGTTAATTTTGAAACATTTGAACCTAAATATAATTAATAAATAGAGTATTCGAACTTTACAATTATTTAAATATTTTTTAAATTTATTACTTGAACCCGAATTTTATTATCATCACACTATTTACTAATGATCTGAATTTATTTAAAAACCTGATTATGTACAAAATAAATATTATATTCTTCCTGAGTACTTAATTACCTAAATCCATATATAAGAATAAATTACATTTTACATCCTTACAATTGACTAATAATTAAATTTATAAAAGCAAACAAACAAAAAAAATTAAATTTAAATAATCAGAAACTAATATCTCAAACAACAACTTAAATAACAAAAACAAATATCTCAAACATCTTATGAGTTATAATTATTATTTATATTATATTTTTATTTATACGTATAAATAAAAAGTTATTAATAGTTATTATTACTCAATAGCAAAACTTTAACATGTTCTATTGACGTAAGCATAAATGTAATATTAATAATTTCATAAATTATAATTTTTATAAATTACAAGTTCTATTTATATAATAATAATAATTAATAAATTATTTTATTATAATAATTATATAATAATATTTATATAAATTAAATATATAAATATTATAACATATTCATATAACATATTAATATTTAGGATATAAGTATAGTAATTATTATATATTAAATATAATTTATTTAATATGTTAATGAGTATATAGTAAATAGTAATATTTATATATAAATTAAATATATTAATATTTATAATCTATTAATATAACTTATTTATATGTAGTATATAAGTTTACATAGGCGAAAAAATATTATATATTTTAGGTGTAATAATTATAATATTATTATGTAGCATATATATTTATCATATATTAATATTAACATATACCTTATATTTATTTAAAAAAGCATATAACTTATCTCATTTAAAATATATAATCTATAATTACATATTCCATGACTTAATATATAATCATATTATTTATGTTTTAAATTTGAAAATGTAAATACCTATTATACTTAATATAGGCATAATTGATTGCTATATTTAATCATAACACTTTACAATATATAATAATAATTATATTTCTTGTAATATGATATTATTTAAATATAACTAATAACTGAATATTTTAATTATTTAAATATATTAATAACATATGATGAATAATTTGACTAACAATAATATATTATAAATGAAAAGTTCGATTTCTAACATCAACAAAATTTTACATATTTAATTATGTGTTATATGCCATATAATACATAATCGGATGTGTTGGTACTCAAAATACAGGTAGCAAAATTATTATCTGAATCCATCCCAAACTTGAGTATAATGTACTCTAATTCTATATAATCAAGTCAAGTACTTAAGAATACCTTGCTTCATCCCTAAATCAAAGGAACGAGGAAAATTTTGTCTAATTAGTTAATTATATAACATATTTAGTAGTACTAGGAATTCTTAGCTTTATGTTTTAATTGAAGAGATTAAGATCAAATTATTATTATATATTCACTTAATGTTAAATTTTATCATTATACTTCAATTTTATTAAATTTTGTTATTGTACCCTAAACCCAAAACAACAATCCTATTAACCAGGGATTGATTGGTTGAATTTGTAAGTTTGTTCACTTTTGATAATTAATAATATTGGGTTTGAATATTATAAATAATATCATAATAACATTAATTTTGAGTTACACAATCTTTATAAAATATAAATAATTTTTCCTTGAAATAAAAAATAAAAGGCTTGGTTGGTAATATAAGTCTAAAGTTCATATATCTTTTGTTTTAATTGTAATTATCAAAGAAAATAATTAGCCTAAGGCTTATAATTGTTTTAATTTTAACAATCTGACAAACTATCGAGTCTCAATCAATTATATCTTAACAAAATCGATTTTATTTATTTTATTTAAATATTATTATTTTATACATATGGATAAAATTTTTAAATTTTACAAAGGAAACAAAGTTATTGTTACATGCTTTTTTATTTATCACGCTAATTTATGAATTTTTTTTTTAAATATGCTGTAATAAAGTATGTGGTAATCCTTTAATTTCGTTAGTGAAATTTACAAATTTTATTGACAATGCACGAGATAATGTTTTATTTCTTTTGAGTGTACTATTTTGACATTTCCCAGGCTTGAAAAAGCACAAAGAATTTCTCCTTATCCGATATTCTTCTCTCTCATTGTCCAGAACCTTTCCTTTACTTTTTTTCAACTGTCTTAATTGTGCCATCACAGATTGCTCCGTGGCCAATAAGCTACAACGCGGAATCATCTCCTGTCCGCGGCCCACTACCGGACTTTTAAAATAGTGAATATACGGCTTTAATTCATACTGTATCTCGTTCCAGCCTTATATGATTATGTCTTCACTATCAAATTAAGACATTAGGCAAACCCTAGATGATTTACATGCCTTTCAACCCAACTTTATCTTCTTGTCTCACTCAAAAATTAAATCTTTGTCATTTTATCTCACCCAAAATATAAAAATTTTCCTTTTTATTACATCAATATTTTCTATCTAAATTTAGTAAAAGAATTTTATATAAGCATGTATGGAACCGAAGTTAACATTTTAAATTAATTTTTTAAAAAATTGATAATTATTAAAATATCAATAAAAATATATTTATAATATTTTAATAATAAATACTAATATAAATTTAGTAACTTTACTTAATCAAACTCGAACTTGTATCTAAATATTTGATTCATTAGTTAATATACTATTTCATTACTTAAAAAGTAAGATTCAAATCTTTTTCTTTCAATTATGAAAAAAAAAAATCAAACTTGAATTTAAATTTATGAATATCTTTAATCCCGACTTTATAATTTAATAACAATTATCATGTCACTTGCTAATCCTTATTTACATGATATATCTTAAATTGATTAAACTATGCTTGATATTATGAAAAAAAAGACATAAATGTAATAATTTCTTTTTAATAGAACGATAACATAAAACTTTAACAAAGGAAAAATATATGAAAGTCAATATAAAAAAAACCTTTAACAAATTTAAGTAAAGTAATACTAGTTTGGTTAAAGCACATATATATATGGAGGACAAAGAGCATGAATTGAAATGATGAATATATACTAATTTTAAATGAATGCAATCACATCACATATACCAAATATCTTATTTATGTCTCAAATTCCAGGAGACAAGAATACTAAGCTTTGCTCCCTCGGTCCGTATGGGTTCCTTGTTCTTTCCGTCTACCTTTTAGACCACATGTTATGTTATGAGGTCCACGCTACGCGTGGAACACTACCAATGGAAAATACTTTGAACTTGATTAATTTATTTAAAGATGATAATTTAAATAATTTCATTTTGTTTACAAAAATATATCTATATATATAAATTACAACCATAATTATCTATTTATATTCTGAAAAAGGGAAGTCAACGAATAAATAAAATAAATAAACCAACAAATCAAGAAATTATAGTTAAAGAAGATTACTTTTAAGGCTAACCCCTCAAAAAAAATAATTTAGAAATAAAATATTTAAAAATATTTGGGAGGAAACTATTGAAATCAATTAAGGATTTGTCAAAAAGGAAACTCTTTTTTAAAGGAAATATCTGCTGTAATTGTAGAATTAAAAAAAGGGCAAAAAAAGAAAAAAAGAGAGAGAAAATGCGTGCTGATGAGAGAGAATCAGATGCCTTAATTTGTGTTGGGCCCAACTTTGGGCCCTTTATATAGCCCTGCCATCCCCCTTCTATATTTTCCACATTCAACCCTGCACGCTGTCATCATTTTCTTACGCGACTTTTTCTTTCTCCCCAAACACTCTCTTCCCGAGAAAAGAAAACGCAAGAGAAGAAGAATATGGCCGATCAGCTTACCGACGACCAGATCTCTGAGTTCAAGGAGGCTTTTAGCCTCTTTGACAAGGACGGCGATGGTCCTTTCTCTCATCCCTCCCTCTCTTCTTTTTTTCTTAATTTTTTCATTTTAAATATGTTTCTAATACTCTTGCTCGTTTGATTCAGCTCTGATTTGCAGATCTAAGCAAAGTTTTCGTTTTTAATGCTTATTTTTTTGTTGTATTTGTTGTTCTCGCGATCGTTTTCCTTTGTGATTTGAATGATGTGACGGATCTAGGGTTCTGATTTATGAAATTATGATCCTGCTGGATTTTCCATTTTGATTTCATTTCTTTGATTTTGATTGTTCTGGTTCTTGATTCTATCGCTTTAAATGTTCCCTTTTTTTGACATTTTTCATTATTGTTGACCTTTCTCGGTCGTCTCATTGATTACATTCATTTGACTTGTTAGGGTTAGATCTCTCTAGATGCAAGCGTGACCTGTCTAGATCGTCATTTTATTTGGTGATTTGTTGCATAATTTATGCATGAGATTCGGATTGTGATTTGCTGATTTGATTTCATTTACGACTTAATCATGATTAAAGGTCGTATTTTTTTGCCTAAATTTTTAATCTGAGTGATGAAGCTTCCGTGGATTTTGATATGTGATCCCCTTTGGTTGAACCTGCTGCCTGCATTTTCAAACCTATATTGAAATATAGAATCATTATCGTTTTGTTGGACATGCGTGTTGGTGGTAAAGTCATTGACTCATTGTTCTGTCATGGAAATAAGCTTTTATGTTTATATAACGTAGTTTGGTAGTTGTGAATCTAGGATCAGAATGTGCGCATATTGCAAGTTCATGGAAACTCGAGTTTCTGTGGATGATTCGATTGGTTAATTTTGTGATCCTTAATACTAAACTCGGAAATATTATGTTTGGTACTTATGACTTGAAGGTTATTGAATCAGTTGATGACTGGAAAACATGTTTGTGATTTATATTAGCTGATCCATGACTCATCAAGCTTCTGATTGAAGATGTTTCTGCATCTTGAAATGTTGCAGTGGCTAGATTGTTGTAGCTCCATAAGTCAAGACTGAATGCATTGTTGCCCAAGCATCCATGTCTTTATTTTTGGCACTTTGGAAAAATGTTTAGTATCCTTATCATTACTTGTATGGCTATGTGTTCGTCTCTGTGAAGTATATATGGCATTAATACAAGTTTGAATTTCATCTATTTTTTAACTTGAAATATTATTGGACCTGTTTGTAGGTATTACAATAATTGTTTCCCAGTTTTTCTTGCCAAACATAGCTGCATTGATTGTTTCATAACCAATGATATTCATCCTTGCTGCAGGTTGCATTACTACCAAGGAGCTGGGGACTGTGATGCGATCTCTTGGGCAGAACCCTACTGAGGCAGAGCTCCAAGACATGATCAATGAAGTTGATGCTGATGGAAATGGGACCATTGATTTTCCCGAATTCCTGAACCTGATGGCTAGGAAGATGAAGGATACTGATTCTGAGGAGGAACTTAAAGAAGCTTTCAGGGTGTTTGACAAGGACCAGAATGGTTTCATATCTGCTGCTGAGCTTCGCCATGTGATGACGAATCTTGGTGAGAAGCTTACAGATGAGGAAGTTGATGAGATGATCCGTGAGGCTGATGTTGATGGTGATGGGCAGATCAACTATGAGGAGTTTGTCAAAGTCATGATGGCCAAGTAAGGACCCCTCCAACCATAACCAAGATCCAAAAATGGGAAAAAAAGGGAACAGGGCAGATAAGTTTGCTAAGATTTCTATTTCTCAATAGGACATCTATGTTTTATGTTACTAGTTTTTGTTGGGTGGTTGTCTGTTTCTTGTTTGCATTATTTTGTGGACGGGACCTTAGTATATCCTACTTGTTTGCTCTGTTTTTTGTTCAGTAGTCTGGGTTGTTAGTGTCTATCTTTTACATTTGGTGCTTTCTTTCTATTCTTGGTGCCATGAACCTAGAACAATTCCGAAGAGGATTCGATGTTTTTTCTTATGGGTGACTAATTTTACCATATTTCAAAATTTCAGTATGTCTTTATTTGCTGTGATTCTCTGATTGATTTCCATTTTTCATCATGGACATTGCTTATGCTGATCATCTTAAAATAAATAAACAAATAAATAAATAAAGAAGCTGAGCTCACAATTTCTTCTTGTGTGCTGTTGTTTGGTTACCAACCAGGGTGTCAACATTAGAGGTAAATTTCCAAGGAATTCATCTCTAACCTTTTAAACTAGACTGGTTTGTTTTGACACGGAGTGTTGGTCTGGGTTGGTTTTGTACAAAGCCGCCAAGTTTTAAGTTTATAATAATAATAATAATCTATCCTTCTAACGATGAATATTATGATAAAAGCTCTTTTCCTCAAGCGATTAAAACATTGATGGCTACACCAAGCAATATCCTGAAAATCATTGTGCTAGACGAAGTTAATTTCCAGATATTAAAAGGGTTTCTAACGTGTATCTGTTTCCCTTTTTGAAATGACAGTGTCATGGACTCACTCTCCCTTTTAAAGCTTTATGTTAAGGAAAATTTCCTAATATTTTATGTTTTTGTAAACATACATAATTTTCACTAATTTGGTCGGAAGAAAAATACACCAAATTGGCTGTACCGATCTCATTCCAAGGATTTTGTCAACAAAAAAAAAATATTTATTTATTTATATGCATTATTAATTAGAAAACAAAAATAGAAAATTAAGAAAAGCAAAACTTTTGGTGAGTGAAAAATGGGTATTAGGCAAAAAATGATGCTCCTAATTATAACCCTTTTTTTATTTTCCACTCGAAAATGGGTCTGTTTTTTGAGCTTTAAGACACGGTTCTTACACGGAAAGCCAATTACACCAACTTCTTTGAAACCCAAGTATTCTTTTTAATATTTGTATTCATATATAAATGCTGGGTCTTAGTTAGAAAGTTGGATTGGACGACTAGTGTCCCTGCGGAAAAGCATCTGATTCCTTTGTTTGGCAAATCTTTGGGTGCATTCATTCGGAATGGAACAATTCTGGGCCCGTCTTCTTTCAGAATGTGATCACTCTCACCTTGTCTTTCCAATTTCTAGATTATGTTGGGGCGACTTCGAATCTCATGTCCTCTTTTAGAGCCGCCCACTTTCATCACTCGCATTCGCCCACTAGTGGTAGAATAGGAGAGGAGATAGACATGTTGTGTTTTACTTCCTTGTTTCAAAAATCGCTTTCACATTTTTTTCGTTTGGTTAACAGAGACATTTCAAAATTTGAATTTGGTTGATTGTGTTTGACCCTTGAAGAATCAAAAGAAGAACAAAGAAAAAAGAAAAGGGAAAAAGGATAAAAGAAAAAGGCAGATTATGACTTGGATGTCTAAGAGTCGAAAGCCTTGATTTGCATTTCACAGAAGGAAGCAGAGGCCTGTTAACAGCCATCGGAGCCAAAAGGTAGAGAAAGCAAACGCTGGACCCAAACGTCGTAAGAGAGCCAAGATTCGTGATTGTGTTTTCCTCTAGTTTCCCATTACAAGGGCTGCTACCGCTGCCGCTGCTCTGCTGCTTTCATCACTATCATCCTTACTCTCTGCATAATAACTATACTAGTATTATGTTGTAACCTAGTATTCCTAGTCAAGGAACCTCATGTGTGTTTCATAATTAAAAAAGAAAAAAAGCTATCTATATATCTTATAACAAAAAGGGTTCGCCCAATAAAAATAGATTTGAGAAGCAATGCAAAATTATGGCAAAATTTTAAAATTTTGGGAATGGAAAAGCATAGACTCACATTTATTAAAGCCAAAGTATTTTAACTAAATAATCAATTGATTACTTCCCCAAGCCCATCTCTTTCCATTTAAATTAGTCCTATTTATTTATTTTTGGTCAAAAGGATGCCAAACCCACTCTCAGTCTCCAATTTCCAGCCCCTTAATTTAGGCACTCTCTCAAGTAAAGAATGTGAGGAGGAGAAAAATATAGGAAACAATTACAAGAGAGGACAGACTCAGCTTCATGGAGATCAAGAGATAGAATATTATATTAAGATGAAAGATCATAGGTCGATCTGGATATGAATATATATATCAATTAACTCCTAAGCGAAGAAAAAGAAGTGTAAACGATTCCATCGAAAAGCCAAAATATTATTCACGCTCTGGCAGATTCTTTTCCCTTCTCAAAGGTTGAGAGATAAATCTTATGGCAGCCGGTAGACTCACTTAGTTAGCACTGGCCAACTGGGTACGGATGAGCTTGGCAGCAGCAACCATGTTGCTAAGAGCAGGCTGGACTTCAGTGTACTTGCGTGTCTTGAGACCACAATCAGGATTGACCCACAGAATGTTGCTCTCAAGGACTGCAAGCATCTTGTTGATACGGTCAGCAACTTCTTCGGTAGATGGGATCCTTGGGGAATGAATGTCATACACACCAGGACCAATCCCGGCACCATATTTGACTCCCTCACGGAAGACAGATAGAAGCTTTTCATCTGATCTCGAGTTCTCGATGGTGATCACATCAGCATCCATGTTTATGATCGAGTGAATGATGTCATTGAAGTTCGAGTAGCACATGTGGGTGTGAATCTGTCCAATATGTTTGCAATACCATGTTCAGAAAACAAATCCAAGCTTTTTGTCTATGCACACGGCAAACTTCCATATTGAATTGCATTAATAAATGCCAATAGAATTCTATGAAGGAAAGTCAAATACCAAGTGAGTCGTGTCATTTCAAAAGAAAAGAAAAAGAAAAAAGAAGCTTCTTTCATTGTTCTTAGAATTTTCCCTGATTTAAAAAGAAGCCTTATTTATTGCTATATTTTATAATTCTAATTCCTGTAATATATACATCTGACAAGTTTTAAAAAGATTATTGATATGTAAAATGGTTAAGGTTTAAGAAACCAAATACTTTCTTTGATGCCTCAGTTCCTAAAAAGAGGTTGGGAATTAGAAACCTGAGTCGTGTCTTTCACGCCGCAGTTAGTAATCCTGAAGGAGTGAACAGCCCAATCCAGATAGAAAGACTGCTCAGATTTCCTCAGAGGCAAACCCTCTCTCAAAGCAGCTTCATCAATCTGGATAACAGTAATGCCAGCCCTCTCAAGATCTTCAACCTCATCCTTAATGGCCAAGGCAATCTGGTAGCAGGTTTCATGCCTAAGAACAGGCAACGGTACTATAGGTTATATAATAGAAAATACTATAAATAATTTGCATTTATAACAAATTTTGCCTTTACTCACCTTGGCTGGTCATTTCTCACAAAGGACCAGTTCAGAATAGTAACAGGGCCAGTAAGCATTCCTTTCATAGGTCGTTTAGTCATACTCTGAGCCATTGAAGACCAAAAGACAGTCATGGCCTTGGGGCGGCTCACATCACCAAATATAATAGGAGGCTTGACACAACGAGATCCATATGACTGAACCCACCCATTCACGGTAAAGGCAAAACCAGATAATTGCTCGCCGAAGTACTCAACCATGTCATTTCTCTGCATTGACAAAGTACATTTGCTAAATACCATGAGAAATTAAGACCTTTTGTACCATAAGAAGTTAAAGCTCAAATGTACATAACCATTCTAGTAACTTAACCATTCTAGTCATGATAAAAACTCACCTCTGGCTCTCCATGTACCAAAACATCAATGTCAAGCACTTCCTGGAGCTTGACAACTTTGTTGATTTCCTCCTTGATGGCATTGACATAATCAGTTTCAGAGATCCTACAAATATATGGGCAAAACTGGTTTACTATGCAACGAAAAGAATGATTTAAATAGTAACATAACCTGAAAAAGCAAGTAGTCTTACTTTTTAGCCTTGTACTCACGACGCACTCTTCTAAGGTCCATGGTTTGAGGGAAAGATCCAATAGTGGTGGTAGGAAGAATTGGAAGGTTCAACTTCTTCTGCTGGGCATCCAGCCTAGCACTTACATTTGTGGCACGACGGTGATCAGAACCCCTCAAGGCAGCAGCCTGTACAAGAGAAAACCAAAATGTTAAGTAAAAACAAGGTTGCATTGGACCATTCCAGAAAATGAATGGCAGCAACTGTTCTCTGAAAACTACATACAGCCTTCTGCACAGCCTCATTTGTCACTCTAGGAGATGATTTTCTTGAAGCATGAGCCGTAGCATTGGAAGCAAAAAATGCCTGCAAAAAGATGAAAAAGGAATGAGATGCCTAGAGCATTCCAACTAGCTATACGCCATAAATCTTTAGATCATAAATAACATATTTCAAAGTTATAGGGTGCCCTCATTTATCTGCCTAATAGAATGACCATCAAAAGTAAAAAAAGAAAGAAAATGCTGTAAGCGTGCAGTTATAAAGCCAAGGAGGTTGTGGAATGTAATTCAAGTATCAGGAATGTAAAATGGATGGAAAACTCTTCCATGGCTAAAAACATATATCGTCTATAAGGTTCTATTTGATGCTGATCAACACTATTAAAACTATCAACACTCTATAGTCTTTAGCACTAACCACATCCTCCATATAGAAACCCACCAAAACTAGCAATGAAGAAATACCTCATCCTTTTGCCCAACCAATGCCTTAGCCAAGGCATTTACTTCAACAATTTTTTGTGCTGCAAATGCAAGCCACGACTTCAGCTCTTTGTCCAACTTAGTTTCATTCACAAGGTCCACCGCAGTGTGGAGAAGAGAGCATGATGTAGAGACCACAACTTTTTCTGTAGAAGAACAAATCCAAAATTGTTCCTAATTTCTCAGTAAAGTACTAAAATTCCAAGTAGAATTGAATGTAGTAATGCCTAAATACCTTTGCCAACAATACCCTCAAGAGCCTGCAGGGTACTAAGTGAAGAGGCAAGATCATTAGCCCAGATGTTTCTTCCATCAACTACTCCAGCAAACAAGTACTTATCAGAAGGAAATCCACTCTTTATCAAGTCAAGTGTTTTTGTTCCACGAACCAAATCAAATCCAAACCCAGTTACAGCCTTTAATGAAGTAAGTGTTTTGTATGTCTCAACAGGAACATCAGCAAAGTAAGTTTCAATAAGAACATTCAAGCCAGATAAAGATGATTCTAGCTCTGAGTAGGCGTGAGTAAATGCTTGCAGTTGATGCGACTCAAGATCCAACACGAGGGTGGGCTCATCAAACTGAATCCAGGTTGCACCAGCTGCCTTTAGTTCAGCAACAACTTCCCTGTCAAGGAAAATTTATTAGAAAACACTTAAGACAATATGCCTGCACTGATTTCAATATAGCTTAGCCCAATAATTTGTAGATTCACCAAGGTCAAGCAAAAAGTTATAGTGCCTTACTTGTAAATTGGAAGGATCTTGCCAATTAGGGAAAGAAGAGAGAAGGATTTCTCCACACCCTTTGCTGGTTTTGATAGCAACAAGTAAGAAACAGGGCCTATAAGGACAGGGACAGAGTCAACTCCGAGCTGCACCACAAAATTAAACAATAATTAGCAAATCAACAAACACAATTAGGTGGAGAATTTTAGATTTCCAATAATTAACAAAAAAATTGAAAGCATATTTTCACAATAGATGAACAATTTTCCAAAGTAAAATACTCCTAGAGGACATTCTACATTGAAAGCATCATTTTCTGAATTGGATCCCATGTGATGAGGTGAAAATAATATTCCTCTTAAATCACAACTTTCATCTGCAAAGGTGATACTATCAAGGTACAACCATGAATTCTGGATCAATGGGTGTCATTCTGATATATAGGATCCATTTAAAGATTAATAGAAACATTCCGTATCTAAGAGTTCAAGTGTGTAAAAGATCCTTACAGCAAATGGATTTATATAATAGTTTGTTATAGCTTATTCTAGATCTAACTTGCTTATTCTTTGGAACATGTTTACATATTCTTACACAGTTGAAAACTTGGAGAAAAATATCCTCAACTCACAAAAATAGAGCTTCTTGGTGTTGTTGAACTTATAGTAAAATCTAAATTGTATCTCACAAAAATTAAACATGCCTTAGAGCATTTTTAATAATAATAATAACAACAACAACAACAACAACAACAATAATGTGGCAATTCCTTCAACTTTTTAATGGTGTTACTGTTACCAAAGCAGCACAACCAAAATTTTTTGAGAGGCTAGGGATAAACTCAAATATAAAAAGTTTGAATATATGAACTTCCCCGTTAAATAAAAGCAATTACTAAATGAAAATCTTAAAGAGCAAAACCAACAAGGATAGCATGGGAATGTAGGAAACTCACAGCTTTGGCCTCCTTGTATTCATCAACAGCCTTGTGAGATGCATAGGAGAACTTTACATCTGGTCCCAATTCCGGGACAATGTAGTGACTTCAAAATTATAAATACAATTAATGCCATGAAGAATAAGAAAAACTTTGTAAAAGAAATACTCTGCGCAAAGTATTCATCACTTACTAGTTGGTGTCAAACCACTTAGTCATTTCCATAGCAGGCACAGAGGCATTACCCCTAGCCATTGAGAAATAAACATCAAAACCAATCTCACCACCATTCCAACCATATCTAGGAGGAACTGCGCCAAGCATTGCTGTGTTGTCCAACATTTGATCATAGTATGAAAATGTGTTGCTAGGGATATACTTGATTCCAGCCTCAGACATCTGCCTCCAGATGGATGACCTGAGGTCTGCCGCCACCTTCTGCAATTCCTCGGCACTGCTTTTACCATCCCAGAAAGATTCCAATGCAAACTTTAACTCCCTCTTGGGTCCCATCCGAGGGTAACCAACAATGTGTGATGCCATTGCTCTGTTTCATAAAATAAAAAATAAAAGGTATCACTTTGATTTTAAATTCAGGTTCAACCTCGCCAACAATCATGAAAATAAGATTTGTCCTCAAAAGGAGTCATTTGAGACAACATTCTAAATTATTATTGATGCACAAGGTAGGTGAAACAAAATTCACCTTCTTATACAGATAATCAGTTAAAGTTAGATTTCTTTTTTTATGTGGATAATAGCTCAAGATGGGAAATTGAACCCAAATTCTCTAGCACGGAATACATGCAGCCAATATTGAGCCAAATCGTTCGCATGTTAAATTTAAGAGTTTAATCAAAGAAAATGACTAAAAGTTGAATGCTACAAATTCAAATTCAATTTCAAATTATAAATCTAAGGTAAGTTTATATAATAAAAATCTTAAAATTAAAATTGCAATAACTTTAAGCCACTAACAAACTTAACAATTGCAAAAACTAAATTGCCGAGCCAAAAAAATTGCAACAACTAAACAATTTGAATTACATATATAAATACTCAATATAAAAATTAGATCTGAGTAACTTGAAATTACGTATATTATAAGCGACAGAGAGATAAAATCGAACAAAAAAGCAGGAAAAGAACTCACATGTTAGTCTGTTTGGTTACTCAGAAATAGCATGAAACGGCAGAAGGAAAATCCAGTGTTTATCAAATTATAAACATTTTTTAAGATCCTAAATTTAAGGAACTTCAAAACGGTTTTCACTATCCTTAACTGAATCAGAAAAATGCTCAAAATTTTATCTCTTTTTCCAGGTTTGTTTTCATTTCCTTCATTTTCTATTTTCTCAAGAAAGAAACCCTTGAACTACGAAAAGCAGAAAGAAAGTAAGAAATGGAGTTACCTAAGAGAGAAAGGACGGAGGGTGAGGCGGAGATAGGAAGGAGGGGCGCGTGTTGGGAGTGCAAGAGAGCGAGAGGCAAGCAAAGGAAATGGAAACGATACAAGTTTCTTGAGGAGAGAAACTGAAGAGAACGGCGCGAGGGAATGAAGAGAGACTTGGCTCATTTATACTTCACTCGGCCTTCCCATTCTCCCTCCGCTTCCTTTGTACTCCAACTACTTCTCGATTCCCCTTTTCACTTACCGCCACCTTTTCTTTTTTTTCCTTTTTTTTTAATTTTCTTTTATTTTGATAATCTGTTTGATTTTAAAATTGAAAAAAAAAATTGAAATGGAGTTAGAGGGGAGTTTTCAGGTGTTGCATGTGTAAGAATTACAGGATCATTTAGACGAAAGATCACCAACCCTGATCCTTTATATATACAGAATTAAAGTTTGGTGATTTTTAATGTTGATATACAGAATTAAAGTTTGCTGATCCCCAGAAATTATAAAAAAGTTATTTGGAATATGATTTTTTTGTTACTTTTTAAGCTATTATTAAAATATTTTTAAAAAATTAAATAAATTTTTAATTTTTTATTACATTCAATCACGTCTTTATATTTTTATTTTGTATCAAATAAATTCTTATTATTTACCTAATTGTTACTTAAAACATTACTTATTATTTTATATTATATAATGTTTATTAGTATACTGATATATTATAATAGATTATTACGTTATATGATCACATAGTTTTTTTCACTTCTCACATCAGTATCATGATAATATTACATGATATAAAAATGATAAATAACTTTTTAATTAATAATAGTTACTCAACCATTAGTCATAAGCATATATTTGATTTAAAATAAAAATAAAATGACTTGATTGAATGTATTAAAATAATAATTTTATTTAAGTTTTTTTTAAATACTTTAAAAGCTTTTTAAAACATAATGTCTATTTTTTATCTTATTAGAGTCTACACTAAGCACATAAATTAACTATTTTTAAAATTAGACATAAATTAAGCATTTGTCTATGTATACAAAAAATAATCAAATAGTTTTATTCAGCTTAATTAGATTGTTAGATTAACGCACAACATGCAAACTTTCTTCCACATTTAGAATTTGCATGTTCCTTCTCTTAAAGCCTAACTATGAGGTTTAGGTTGGTGAATCATACGAGTACTATTTTATTTGAAATGTTCTTCTTTTGACCAAAAAGTAACACAAGTCTTTCAACATCATCTAAAACCAACTGAGTTTATTTTTCCTTTTATAATGAAAGTACCCAGTTTTATTTCTTAGGCAGTAAATGTTTTTTATGATCATATTTTATGAGTTGAGTTTGAGTTGAATGTGAGTCAATCTTAGGTTTTTGTTTTTAGTGGAATGAAATATCTAAACAAACATGATCATGACCAGACAACTAGGCAACTTCATTGCTTCATTGCCACTTTGGTGGCATGCATTCTACTCAAGCTGGATTTATTATTGGGATTAATAATTAATTAACAATTTATAACATATTCCCTTTCACTTTTCTCCTTCCCCCAATAATAAGCATTTATGAATTGTTGTTAGTCAGTAGGTGAAGTGGGACCTTAATCCCCTAAAATTCTCATGTAAGCTTCCATTTCATATCAAATTAAGATAATATTTTATTTTATTATTATTATACTAATTTTATTCATATTTTCATATCAAATTCTTATCCTAAAAATTAATTAAATATCTCTACTTTCATTAAATGAAATTAAGAGCTTCTTTCTAAATTTGGCGTTACAAGCCCAGCATGCAAGAACGAGGTTGGACTAAAAGATGGCCGCATGTTTCATTTTGGATGTTGGTCGAAGCCAATGCAGGTACTCAAAATGATTGTGTTGAGTTTTATAAAAAGAATGAATGCTGTTAATCTAGATTAACTAAACCTAAATTTGGTGAATATTGACTAATTTGCAGAGCTTATGCGTGGACAGATCGCCCGGTTACCATTCTACCTATCATCAAGGATATCGTAGCAAGTGGAGTGAGCGTCTGGGTGTACAAGCAAGTTTAATTTCATCAAAATTGGATGAGTAAGAGGAATAATATGGGAGCAAAAACAACAGAAGAATTGACTAGCACCTAGCCCAAGAATATTGACGTAATTGTGATTGCATTTGCAGTGGCGACACAGACGGACGTGTGCCAGTTGCTGCCACTAGGTATTCATTAAACCTTCCCAAGCTCCCTGTCAAGACTGCATGGCATGCATGGTATACCAACCAAGAGGTAACGAAGTCCAGACCATCATTAATTTTCTTGTTTTATTTCTTTATTTTTCTTTGTTCATTTCTTCATGGCATTTGTTCGATTATGAAAAGTCGAGTCTCCCTGACTGGTAGCACTCAGTTAGTTTGATTACAGAGTTGTAATATTGATGCAGGTTGGAGGGTATGTGGTGGCGTGCGAAGGATTGACATTAGCTTCAGTTAGAGGAGCGGGGCATCTGGTCCCAAGCAACCAGCCAGAACGTGCCCTAACCTTGATTTCATCATTCCTTCAAGGGATTCTCCCATCCTTCCTCACCATGACCCACAGGATTCCCGACAAGAAAATAGAAAGATAGAGATGAATTGCTGCTTTTTCCTTGTATTCGTTTGTGCTATTCTCATTTTAATAAAAATCACATTTATTCAACGATTACTTGGGCTCCAAAGTTTAGGCAGTATGGTTACTTGGAATTAAAGTTTTAGACAAGTAGAGATAGAGAAAGACGGCTTAGTGGATCCTATATAATTCCATGATTGTGAATGAAAAATATAATTAAATAATTGTAAGTGATATGTTCTTAGTAGAAAGAGAATTAATGAAATTATAGTTTTAAAAACAATATTATGGATCTCCATAATACAAACATATTGACCCAAAAAAAAAAAGGTTAGCTTTAAATCATTGCATGAAGCAAATCTAACAAAAATATTTGACACATAGAAGGAACCAAGTATAACTCCTCATAAGTTGAACCTTCAAAAATTTGAAGAAAAAGAAACTGACAACATAGAAATGAAAGAACCGGTTAAAAAAAAGGAACACTATATGGGTCTCAGAAAAGTGAATTATGAAAAAGTATAATAAAAACTTATCAAAAACTAAATTTGTTGAAATTGAGAATAGTAGAATAACTAAATTATGTATCAAAAAGTGAATTATTTTTGTAATTTGTCAAAATTACAGAAAAGTAAAATAAAAATTTTAACTAAAGAGTAGTTTTTTTTGTTTAATTGTCAATTGAAGACACAGATCAGAAGGCTATGTAACTTTTCATATATTTATAATTTGTACAATCATATGCATTGGAATCAGAAAATTTATTTGGAAAATTAAAAAACTTTTCATATATAAAATATTTGACAAATCACTAAAAAAACTCATAAAATATCTTACGTTTCTGAAAAGAATAAGATATCTTTTTAAAAAATAAAAATACTATTTAGACTTGAACATTGAAAATTATTTAAATTTAAAAATTCCAATAATGGTTAAGTTTAAAAATCCATGGTTTCTTTGTATTTTAAATTTTTAACAATTTATTCAAATAATAAAAAATAATATATTTTTTATAAAATATTTTTTAATTATCAAAGAAACTCTGTATAATTTTTGTATTACAATATTTAATTTATTGATTAATGTATTATTTTCCTACTTTAAAAATAAAATTTAAATTCTCTTCTCTTGCTCACAAAAAAAAAAAAAAAACTCTCTGTGACTTTTTATCCACGACGCATAATTGTTAAAGGGTCAGTTCAGTGTGTTATTTTGAAACCCGAGGAGTTACTCCTTTCCTACTAAATTTATTAATATTTTGATTTTACCAGCTTTTTAAAAAAGAATTTGACTATAGTCTATTTAATATGAAAATTTTATTTTTTTATAAAATTGATTTTTCATAACTTTTAATATAAAAAAAGTAATACTCCATTAATGCTGCCCTTTATGATCAACTTTCATCTTCAACCTTGTGGTTGGCATCTTCATGTCACAAGGCCACTTAAAGTCAATGGTAATTCTTCGTCTATTTCACACCTCTAATTCGCAAATAAAACCATTCACTTTGCGAAGTGCATCTTTAGTAGTTGAGGACAATCAAAGGGATTTTGAAAGGTTTTCACGCGATTTAGGAAAATCGGAATAGATTTTGAAAGAATTATCCCGATTAAAGAAAAAAACTATCCCAATTAAGGGAAAGAAGGTGAAAAAGAGTTTTACATTTTTTTAAAAAAATTTTGGACTACTGGAAATCAACTACTGGTGGCCGGAATCTGGGTTGAGGGTTGGGAAGAGAAGGGCAGGCAGAGAGAGAGAGAGAGAGGAGAGCTACAGTGCTAGAAAGAAGAGGAGATGAAAAACTGGGAAAATAAACTTTAGCTCCACTAAAATGGCGTAGGTTTGGGTAAAATGGAAAAGAAAAAAAATAATAAAAACCACGTGGTAAATTTCTTTTTAATTAAAATATTTTTATATCATGTCATGTTTTTATTTTTGAGACATCAAATATTTCAATTTAGATAAAATTACTTATAAAGATCCAAATGTATATAATGTTCAATGTACAAAATTAAATTAACAAAATTTTAAATAAAAAGATTAAATTAAACAAATTGCTATAACAGCGGGAATTCCCATGTATCTTAACTTAGTAAACGTGACCTATTGCAAGTTGTGTAAACTATATTACAGATTAATAAAACTTATAAGCCTTTCAAAAAAAAATCAAAATGTAAAAAGAATTATAAATATAGATTTTGAAATATATATATATATAAAGAGTATTATTTTTTTATAAAAAAAATAATTTTGAGACACTTAAAAAATTAAATGAATAAACGAGAAAGAATGAGTAGTATATTTTTTTTATTAATCAACCTTTCGAGGCTAAACAGCCTAAGTTTGGCATTGTCCTGATGTTTTATCAAGCTCAAAATCTGTTTTGACAAAATCATAACACTAAATACCAAGAACTGGTTTCTTCCATGTTTGATCTTTGTTGGAAAATTGTGAGAAATTTGTACTGTTGGAATTAACTATTGAAATAATGATATAGGCAACTGGTTTGGTTAATTTCAAAACGTCCAAATAGATGGTTCACCGATTTTGAGACAATTTCAATGTTAGGCTGTTCCATATTTTTCCTGGCCGATTGCTGCCAAATATTAATTTTTAAAGTTCCGTTTGAATTTGACTCGTGGTACTTGATAAATATCCTTCCTCAATAAATCCAATGGAGTATAAGAACAATGGCAATCGACCAAATTAAACTTCATAGTTTCAGGCCTGCCCCAAAGATTTTTCTCTATATATTTTATAATTGAGGTTGGGGATGGTGTGGTCTTGGATAAGCGTCTTACTTTTACGGGTTCAAACCCCATTGCCTTTTACATTCTAGCCTTCCCCGTCAGTTATTTTTGCCTTTCTCAGTCACTGGCGGAATGAGCTATATATGAAATTACACAAACAGATATAATTAGAAATAATGAAACACTATACGATAACAATTTAGATTTGACTTAACTATTGTTATCATTTTCAGAAGATTTGAAGCTCAAAGTTTGAATTTTTTTTTCCTTTATACTTCTCTTTTATATCAAAATGAAGATAAAATAAATTACTTTGATGAAAATGAATTTTCTTCGTATGAAAAAAAAAATGAAAGAAAAATAATCGGATTAGAGAAGCGCGATGATTACAATGCTACCTACCTAGGCAATTAAAGTACTGTAGTAAACTGTGCAATGAAAGCGAAATAAGCCAAAACATTCTAATATTACATTGTAGTAATAATCAGTAAATTATAATTTACTATACAATAGATCGAAAACAGCTGGTTAGTTCATCCAAAATCTTTTATTTGAAAATTACATAAAATTAGAAGCTATGGAAATATCATCCCTTTTTCTGAAAGCCTCAATAACCAAAATCTAGGTGCCTTGATCTTGACGCCCTCTAAAGTGTGTTAGAACTATAAATTTCCTTGACATTTTACTAATAATAGCACAGTAGCCAAGAAAATATGAAACTTGCAGGGTATACATGGATGCTACTCTTTATGTGCCTTTTGGGGCTTCTCACTTGTGGAGAAGCCAACCAGGCTGGAACCCTTCGTAGCTTTCTCAAGTCCAGATTATCACGAAAACCTGCTGCTGCACATTCTTTGGCATGGTTCAATAAAAAAACAGGGTATTCTCCCAATTGCATACAGCCCCAAGATGGCTCCATGGAGGCTGATAGAATTGGTGCATTGCCTGGACAACCTAATGCTGTGGATTTTAACCATTACGCAGGATATGTGACTGTCGATTCTCAGGCTGGCAGAGCACTTTTCTACTACTTTGCTGAGTCCCCAGAGAACTGTTCTACAAATCCTTTGGTTTTATGGCTCAATGGAGGTATCAATCAAATTGTTTCATAGTCATCATTTTCGTTAGCTACACTAGCTATTATATATGCTCATCTTGGTACCTTGGTAATTTCAGGACCAGGATGTTCTTCATTAACTGGAGCAATGACGGAATTAGGACCTTTCAGAGTAAATAGCGATGGCAAAACTCTTTTCCGAAACAATTATGCGTGGAACAATGGTCAGAATTAAAACTTGACTTGGCCACATCTGACTACCTATTCTTCCTTTACTTTTTGTGTAATTATTATGAAATTACTCATGTGTTCTTACGATTTTGATTGAGCTTGCCAGTGGCGAATGTGATCTTCTTAGAATCCCCAGCTGGAGTAGGCTTTTCGTATTCCAATACATCCTCCGATTATGACCGTACAGGTGACAAGAGTACTGCAGAAGATGCGTACACCTTCCTTGTAAACTGGCTCGAGAGGTTCCCGCAATATAAAACCCGGGATTTTTACATAACTGGAGAGAGTTACGCTGGTCACTATGTGCCCCAGCTTGCTTACACCATTCTTCTCAACAACAAAAACTCAAATCAAACAGTGATTAATCTTAAAGGCATTGCGGTATGTTCAATGTACAACAAGTAGATCTCTCTCCGTACGTTTTGTACTCCTGGAATTTGGAGCTCGATATATGATTTTCTCCTAACTTTAGTGAGTGATGATAAAACTTTTCAGGTTGGGAATGGCTGGATTGATGATCCTACAGGTTATTTGGGAGTATTTGACTTTTTATGGACGCATGCTTTAAACTCTGATGAAACCAACAAGGGCATCCACACCTATTGCCACTATTTTAATGGAAAAGATTCAAAACAATGTGACGACTTCATGAACCGGGCGTATGATGAGGCTGGTGATATAGATGGTTACAACATTTATGCCCCACTTTGTCAAGAATATTCAGTATCCAAAAAAGGCTCACAGGGTTCGGTAAGTCATACTGCAATTAATCAATGCCGTATGTTACATAACCAGATTGATCGGTCCAAGAAACTCTTATCAATTATTGAAATTTGAAATTCGTTTGTCTCATCATCCATCCTTCAAGGTATTGAATATTATAATTTGCTTTCACTACGTAGTCTTAATTTGCTATGGTGTTGTGAATTCTTGACCATGGCTAGATGTTCACCTGCGATCAGACACAATTATAAGAATAAG